CTACAGTCGTCAGCCGGACAGCGCTCAAGCCACAGACGGAGCCCGGAGGGACCCGGGTGCCGCTGTGTTCCGGCGCTGTCCGCAGCAGGTGGCCGAGCCAGCCCCGCACGTGCCCCCGCCTGCGTCCCCTGGGCTGCGCCGCCGCGCCTTGGCGAGCTGCTGGCTCCGTCGGGCTGTGACGGCGGGGATGGTGGCAACCCCTGCAGACTGCCAGCCGTGCCTTGCTGTTTTCACACCTTGTTTTAGGAGGGGGAAGGCATGGGAGCTGAAATATAGCGCTCACTCTGCAGGAGAAGATGTAGCAGAGTTAAAAATAAGTACGCAGGAAACAAAGCATCAGAGAAGCATCTGCTGCTCAGATAAATAATTTTATTAAATAAAACAACAAAAAAAAAAACCTAAAATAATTCAACGAAAATGGTGCTGTTGAAGGAGGAGTTGTTCAGAATTTTACCCACACCTTAGGGAAAATAATAGTTATTTTCTGTGGGTCACTTGCAAACAAATTGCAAAATGCAGGAAGACAGCAGTGGCAACAACCGCTGGTCAGATGGGATACAAATTTTTCTTGTGCAGTTTTGAAAGTAGGAAGGAACTCGGGAGGAAAAAGTACGTCTTTTTAGATTCATGCACGTTCATGTGTATGTACAGGAGGCTGGAAACACCAGATAATGCAGGCTTGAAGTTCCTACTTCAAACCAGAGTTGAAACTGCTATTTCTGTTATGATGCCTGGACTGTTCCTCTTGATTTGGCAAAAGGAGTGATAAAATTTCATAGTTTTTTTTCCTGTAGGGATTTTTTTTTCAAAAGCTCAGTACTTTAAAGGCAGTCCTTTCGAGAGATCTTTCAATTTTGAAATGAATCTCTGTATGTGTTCGAATTTTCCCTGCTGATTTGTTGTCATATACAAGACCAGCCAGTCTTGTATGGATAATGAGTATTTAAAACTCACTTCTGAAACATGTTCTCAACATGCTGATAATATCAAGTAGATGCTGAGTGATGCCTGAGATTTCAGAGACCGTGTTACCTACTGTCTACCTAGTGCAAAATCACTGTTCATGTAGGGACTTGGTAGAGGCCAGAGTTTATGTGGCCCAGGGTGTGGGAGGGTTCTGTGGGGGACACTGGTGAAAGTGGGGGCAGTGGCAAGACTAGCACAGTGGTTCCATCTGCAGTGGCAGGGAAGGGAGTGTAGAGCAGCAAGAGCTGCCCTACAGAGGCTGAGGTCCTTGCATGCTGTTAGGAGCTACAAGAAAGGGTTCCAGTGCACAGTGACCACGAGAACTGAGGGGCTGAATAAATTTGGGATTTAGAAGATCAGGGGCTTCTCAGACAGGTTATGCTGACTAATTTTTCCTGTCAGCCTGTCTCCTTCCTACTGCTTCTGTCACATTCTGCATCTCGCTGGAATAGCTTTCTGACCTCACGAGATTTCCAGTTTGAGATGATTCCTTGCTTTCCCCTTTCTTAAGTTACTGCAAGTTCCTTAGAAACACAGTTTCTCCCTAGTGCTTTTTGAAGCTAATCCCCAAAGTTTTCTGCTCAAAATTTTCAGAAATACCTGAATTTCATGTATGATAATCTTGCTAATGACACAGTCCTCAGAAATTCAGGGACCTATTGAGAGGGTGTCCCATTTCCATTTTCATGGAAACAGAATGCTCTGTTTCTTCTCTTATCATCTTCACCATGCTCACCCTCACCTCTGTTTCTCTCAAGCACAACATAAATGCATAAGTTTCACATTTACTTAGTACTACTTGTGTGTTTATTTTTTGGCTATTAAAATACACCTTCTGGGAAAATATCTAAATCAACTTGATAGCATTGTTTAGGGATGTGATATGTAAGTAGGGGGAGAGGAGGAGAAGGCTCACGAGAGCAAAGATCTGTCCCTTTGGATGAGGTTAATATAATGAGAAAGCATGTAGCTGGTATCACAGGGAAAGAAGTGAACTGATGTAGGCTGGGTCAGATGAAACGTGGGGAAGGCTTGAAAGTTGCCTTGAAAATGTTCAGCTGCCCTGAGTGCCAGCAGTGCTGATAAACTGAACTTTAATCTCCTTCCTGGAAGACACATACCGAGAGTCATGGCTAGTTGTGCTGGCTGAGTACAAAAATAAAAGGGATTTTCTATTATCATCTGTAAATGGATTGCCCTTTAGAGTTGCTAGGTTCCTCTTGTTCTAACTTGGTGACTCATCCCACATTCCCCCTGTGCTAACAGCCTAGCACGGTTGGCATAGGCTCCAGTGCAAGGAATGAGATGAGGTCCCCTGCTCAGTCAGCTGCCAGTGCTTGGCCTGCCTTCTACTCATCCTCGGTGCCGCTGGCTCATGTCCTCCAGCTCGGGGCTGCAGGTACACACGCCACAGCTGCAGCCTGCACAGCCTTCCCCTGGTGGCAGCAGCTACAGGCTGGCCCATGCTCTGCAGCTGCAAGCAGCACATGCTCCACCAGCTCCTTCTGTTAAGAGCTGAGGTGGCTGACCAGGGCTACCCTTCAGTGGGGCACACAGCTGGGATGGTAGCAAACACCTTTGGGTAAGGGGCTGCGTGTCATTGGAAGGTGGGGGAGCGAGAGGAAGGCCAGACAGAGGTCCTGTACCATTCTGGGTTGCAATAAGCAGTTTGACAAAATGGAGTGGTAGTTTCACCAGTGTCTTGCCAGTTGTAGTGTCTGTGAACCTTAATGTCTGGTTCACAGATTCACAGAATTCACAGAAAGTTCCTCTAGGAATTAGATGCAAGTATTTCATTAGACCCACCAACTGGATGGGGTGCCTCATTTTTGATGGAAAGTTTAGGATATGTTTAAATGAGAAGCTGTTATTTGTGGGTCTTGGTGGTAGATCAGAAGGCACTGATTCATCTTACACTGAATATGGAAAGTTATGACAACATGCTAGAGTGACTGCAGAGTATTTCTAGTAATGCTGTAGAAGTTTGAGATGGCAGAGAGTTGAGTCTTCTGGTTGTCTCCTATGTAATACCATACTGGTTTTATTTTCCATGGCCTTTCATGCAAATCTTCCCTTCCTCCCTGGGTCTGTGTGATATTTATTTGCTTCTACACTGAGTGTGTGTTCAATCATCTTTAGGGTACTATAGTAAAACATAGGAAGGCACAGCCCCAAGTTGTTAAGGATGTAATCTGGTTGCTTCATGTTCTTTCAAGTATAATTGACTGAGGCATGTGAGAGATTACTGGGAAAAATAATTTTAAAAAGCATTAAGTGACTCCATGGTAATCAGCTGAATAGTCTGAAAAAGCACAGCTGCAAGCAGTAATACTGCATAAAAGTGTTCTTGTAAAGTACTTTTCAGGGTACTTTATTCTTTCAGCTGTGGCTGTTTGCTGAGGGTCTTTGTTTCTGCTGTTGTTACTAAAAGTACAGTGACAAAATAGAACACGGCATAGAGACACAGTGTTATAAGAGATGTTACGTACTTGTGATCTTGTAGCCATGCAAGTTCTTGAATTCCAGGGATAATCTTTCCATGCTATGAAATTGTCCCAAGATTTTCAGAAGGATATTACTGAAACTTTAATTGTGAGTCAGCACGTGGGTACAGTTTGTTTACTGTTTTAGTGCAGATTGTGAGAAGTCAGTAAAAACAGATATTAATTAAATTAATTTTAAAAAAATTAAATGCTAGTTTAGTGTTTGATTCAAAATGAAGAGATTCTGCAACAAGAGAAGACAATCCTTGTGCATTCCTGCCACCAAAATGAAAAAAGCAAAGGAAGATGGATAGCACAGTTACAACTCTAAGGCAGACACTTTCCCTGGGGAGTTTTGTAGAAGCACTGATGACCTTAATATAAGGTGAAACTTTTTAGTAGTCGCTGCAAATAAAATACCAATGTATTACTTATGTAATTTGATTTGTAGGGTCCTTAATTTAGAATACTAAATATTGCAATATTTCTATAGTACAGAAATTAGTATAATAAATAATATTATTTATATTTATAAAGTAGTATAGAAATACTAGCCTCATGACAAGTGCTTAAGGTAAATCAAATTACTCATATTTATATTAATACTTGGCATCCAGAAAAATGGAAAAACTGGTTTGTGCAACATCTGCTGAATGGGAAGAAATGAATTTTGGTGAAGAGACAGTCCTAAGTAATTTGTAAATTCTGAATAATTTAAGTATTCTACTAACTTTAAAGAGGACAGTGTTGTGCATGAAGACAAAACTTAAAACTCACTACTTTAGGTTTAGGAATACTGAAAATACTGAAAGCCTGCATGCAAGTGTAAATACATTTATACTTGAGTATCTCCAGATGGATTCAGAGTGGTTGTTCTCGAGCATTTTGTAAAATGTTATCGCTGTCATACTCCTTTTGTTTACCCACACACAATACTGTTTTAAGAGCTGGCACC